GAAATCTCTCGGGAGGGTCGTGGGGAAGCAGCTCCCCGGCCTGCCTTGACCAAGGGCGGTACCTACGTTTCTCGGGGGGGCCTTGGTGGTGGTGGTGGTGGTGGTGGTAGGTGCCGGCGTGGTGGTGGGTGGCAAGTCACCTGCAGCAGACATGGGAAAGGGCAGGTGAGGCCAAGCGCGGGACCTCAGTGCCCGCAGGGGACCCCAGCGCCCACGGGACCCGGTGCTGCACGAAGCCCGCTGCCCGGTGCGCGGGCTGGTTACCGTAGGCGGTGGCGTTGAGCTGCAGGCAGAGGGGCGAGCTGCAGCACTCCAGGGTGCACGGGCTGGCGCGCACGCTGCCGTTGGCCGCGCACATCTCTGTGCCGTTCAGCCCCCCGCACGCGCTGCTGCACCGGGCCGTGTAGTTGACGCTGGTGACGCGGTGGAGCTGCGGAGATGGAAGAGACGTGGCACCGGCTTCTCGTGCCCTGCTCAAGAGCCAGCGCCCGCCAGCACCCAGGGGCCACGGTGCCAGAGGCGGCCGGCCCCTTCCCCTGCACTGTCGGCGGCTGTCAGGGTGCTGGATCCGACCAGACCTGCCTTCCCCCCCCCTGGAGCCCAGCAGGATTGCAGCCCAGGGCTTCAGGGACCCCCGTACCTCGCAGAAGGAGGCGTTGTGGCAGGCCACGGTGTCGTTGGCATAGGCCGGATCCTGGTAGCATCTCTCCCCCGCGCACTGGAAGCCGTGGCAGGTGAGCTGCGGAGACAGCATGCGCCCGTCAGCACCGCCAGCCCCGGAGCCTGGACAGCCTTGCCGACCCATGCACCGCTGCAAGACGGCTTGCAGAGCCAGGCTGCACCCCTGATCCGGCTCGGGCTGCCGGCATGCGAGGCACCCCCGGGCAGTGCCCGTCCACCCCACCGAGCTGCAGCCCCCGGCCCTGGCTGAGACAAGGAGCCGAGCAGCACCGGCGCATCCTTACGGGGCTGTCTTCTGTCTCGTTCATGCTGGGGACCGAAGACGTGGCATTGACCAGCTCGAGCTCTACAAGACAAGGACGCGAGCGCTGCATCAGCACAGGGCACCCCTCGCTACCCTCGCGCCGCACGGGGAAAGTGAAGGGCACGCGGTCCCAGCCACATGCACAGGGCAGGGCATGCGACAGGCCTTTCCCGGGGTTGAAAATGCCCCATGAAGGGGCAGGGGGACCTGGAGCTTTCCAGTTGCCACGGGCAGGACAGCCAGGGGAGGAAGGACTCCCCAAATCCAGCTCTGCCAAATGAGCCACCTGTCCCCACCGGGTCGCCCGCATCTCACCTGCTGCGGCGAGAGGGCTCCAGGGGCTGAAGCGCGGAGCCAGAAGGCAGAGCAGGAGCAGGCCTGGAAGAGATCGAGATGCACAGGGCAGCGTCAGGGACCCGCCGAGGCCCAGGAAGAGCCGCGTCTTGGAGCACCCCGCTGAGCTCCCAGCGTCCCGTGGCCGACGCTGCACCCCAACTCACGGAGGAGGAACAAGACCTCCGAGCAGGCTGAGACGGTCCTCAGCACCTCGCTCCAGAAATGGAGCTGCTCTCACCTGGGACGGGGCTGACGCGGTGCGGGAGACCTGCCATCTTCAGCCGAGGGCAGCTCGCTTTGACTGGACCCTGGGGAGAGACGGCTAGTTGGGCTTGTGGCCACGGGCACGGCCGGGTGTCGGCGGCCGCACCTGGGTCCTGCCAGCGGGCTGCCCCCTTCCCTGGCTCACGCTCCAGGGGTGCGGCAGGGCTCCGGCGAGGCCAGCTCCCCACCGCGGCCCCAGCACCGTCTGCAGTGAAACCCAGGGTCTCCTTGCGGCCACGTTTCCTGCTGGGAAACAGCCTTGCGAGCGCCCGTGGGGCAGGGCCAGCCGCTCGTCACAACAGACCTGGCTGAGGACAGATGTGCCCAGCTGCTGCCCCGCCAGGAGGCTGCCCCCTTGCCCGAGGGGCACGGCCATGCTCGCCCCTGCAGGCCATTGCCCTGGCCCCGAGCAGCGACAGGAGCCTGCCGAGCCGCAGCGGCGAGTTAAGGAGCTCCTCGC